GAGCAACAAAAGATTGCTGTTGCCAGTGACAGAATATTCCAATTATAGAGTTGCATTACATTTAACACCTTCAACAACTTGGAAGCTTCTTAATGACCAGAATTCGTTATATCTCCCGTGTACTAGCTACCATAAAATACATAAACCGAGAGGCCAAGTTTTGAACCATGTTAACAACATGGTTCAAAATGCCAACCTATGATGATCAAGTCATCATAGGCTGACCAAAATGCTAACCTCATTTAAGCAATCACAAGAGCAGATTGGGTATGCAAGCATAGATGCAAATTGACCAATCGGAAAAGTTACAGTACCTCATACATGGACAAGTCTGACATTCCTACAATTTCTCAACCAGAACTCAAACCACATGCAGCTTGCTGATCTGGTATCATACTCCACAACCCAAACCCTCTTCCCACCTTCGTTCGTAGAATTTCAAACACAGAAAAGGACAAAAGCATTAGAATCTGATCTCCAATTGATTTCTTTCCTATTCCATCAATTCAAAGACAACAAAAATGAGAAGAAGGAGAAAAAAAAAAGAGGAAAAGTTTTTATTTTTTCTGAAAAGCAAAACAAGCATAGAGAACAGAATTCTGATCTAAAGGGATCTTTGAAAAAAATAAAAATAAATAAAAAAAGGTAAGATCTTTACTTCAGCTAAGTACAAGCTTTAGTAAATTCACCTCAGTTCTACTTTAAGAAATGAAAACTTGAAATAGCTTTGTTATCATATTAAACTTGCTTTTTATCTTCCTTCATTTCTCAACAACCACAAAAAGCATATGGCACAGCATAAAACAAGTTACATATGAAGATTTTTTTTTTTTTTTTAAAGCTTACATATGAAAATCAAACAAAGAAGAAAGCCAATAACAAGACTAAAACAGTCCAGTTAAAAATAAAAATAAAAATAAAAAACTAGAAGTACTATTTTCAGCTAAAGTTGATAGCTTAAACAAAGATACTTGACGGAAAACTCACCGGAAAATCAAGAACTATGCAGAAAGTAAGAAATTTCGATTGAATCCAGTAACGCAGTGGCAAAACCCTAATTTGATGATGAAGGACACAAATCTGGGAGGTTCTAGAAACCAGGGAAGACAGGAGAGAGATAAAGGAAGAAGGATATTGCTCAGCGGCTGTTGGGGTGGGGGGGGGGGAGAGAGGAAATAAAAAAAATAATACAAGTAAAAAAAATTTTTCTCTTCTTATGGGTATGAATATTTTAAAGAAATTGTTAATATTATTTAAATAATGAGTGATACGCATGAGGTGCCACGTGGGAAGGAGATCAAAACAAGGGCGGTAGAGCGACGGGTGGGTATCAGAATTCGTGGACGAGAGGGCGGCTGGAGATACGATCTGTTTCTGCGACGTGATTGGTCCAGGTGCGTGTTACGTTTTAGTGAGGTTAGACACGTGTCAATTTTCTGGGGTGGTTGTACGGTCGGGAAGGAGAAACGGGTTGTGGGTAAAAATTGCGGACATGGTTTTCAACGGTGGACACTTGTTTTGCGGCCGTTCTAGTTGCTTCGGCGGGTGTAATACTGCGGTGGAAAGTTGATAAGTGATAACGTTTGCATTTTATTGGTTTTTTTTTTTTGTGATGCTGACTCATTTGTATCTTTGCTAGTTTTGGATAGTTTATGGAATAAACCCCTAAGAGAATATTTGCAGTTCTTTTTTTTTATTTTAAAAAAGAGAACTGCTTTTTTTTATTTTTTGGTTTTTTTTAATGTTCCATAGGTAATGATTTTTATTTGGAGACTGAAAATGCAGTATACAAACATATGAAGAAAAATGAATGATAGCAGCATTAAAATACCCATTGAAAAAAAACCCCCCAAAAAAAATTTGTTTTACAAGAAGATCTTTACTTTTATAGTGTAAAATTAAGGGTGGTGCGTTTGATAAAACTTCAATTCGAAATATGAAATCTGAAGTGTGAATCCGTTAAGTTATTGAATTGTTAAGTATTAAATCCAATATAATTGAGTGCATATTACATTCAGTGATAAGTGAATGGTTTATTAATTAATTTTGAGAGCAAGTTTTGTTTAGAAAATTCAGTGCCACTTAGTTAATTCAATTCAGATGTTCAATTTTTTGTTATCAAATTGTCCCGGTACAATAAGATCTGATTCCATTAAATTTAAGTACTAAATTGGATTGTCATGCAACACCTAAATGGGCCTAATACATTTACTGAAGGCCTAGCCTGGGCCTTACAAAGTTGTCTGTGGGCAAAAAGAGTTGTCCCATCCTCGGCTCATGTTTCATCCAAAGTTCACGAGGTTTGAAGACTTTGTGATCTGTTTTGATCCTTATAAATTCTCGTTTATTTGCTAGTATTTTTTTTTTTCATTTTCAGGATAATTATTACTTAACGAAAACAAATTGCTCATTACCTTCAACTTGACCACGCATAGATTAAAAAGTTACTTAATAAAAAAAATAATCTAAAATTCAATATATCAATATCGAGAATGATCTCTAATCCAATAATCCTTTTTCTAAAACCATTTGGATGGGTATTCTTGAAAAACACTTGAAAAATATGAAAAATCAATCCAAACAAGGGCTTTTTACATTTTCGATATCTCAGACGTGTGCTTTTTAATGTCCACCAAGTTCTTGTACTCTCTAACAAATATGTGAGAGGACCTCTCTCCATCTTGTCCACCTTTAGCCTTCTCCACTCTTGACCTTTATGCTTAGGCCCACATTTACTTTTATCATTTCCGATGAAATTTGAATAAGCAAGCAAGCAAGCTTCAACATCCGCTTTCTTCATCAACCACAAAATGATGCAATTCCTTTTCTTGTACCCCACATTTTTTGGGAAAAACCAAACATGTCCGTGATGTGAACAGCAAGTTTTTCGTTGTCTGTCTTTATATCGTCAAAACTTCTCTAATGATGTGGTAATCATATTTCAGTTTTTCAGGTCTCCATAAGCAAACGGGGAGCAAAGAAGGGACTCATGAAAGCAACTTGTCCAGAGGACTGGCAGGGAACCTGGTACTAGTAACTTCAAATATTTTTTTTTTTCTTGTTAAGCTTTAACTTGCTTTAAGATTGGGTTCTACCATCATCAAATCCAGAATAAGCCATATTTTCAGACATCTTTATCCAATCCAACCAGTGATTTGCTTCCAAATCATCAATTGCTATACCTGGAAAAGGCCCCGACTGCCTATTTCATGCATGATCCTGCCCGCTTCCTAAACTTAATATTTAATTAAAGTAGATAATCATGCAAGACAAACAAGCCAATCAACTAATAATTCATGGTACAAATAAAAAAGAACAAATAAAAAAAGGGCAGATCCAAGCTGCAGTGTAGCGTAGATGATCACTTGCCCTCTTCGAGCTCTGCAATGCTTCGGAAGGTAGACTCATCACAAGGTATAACAATGCCGTTTCGGTTGTCGAAGCCATACATCTCTGCAGACATCTGGAGCAGTTGCTGGAACGAATGTTTTTTCAAGTAGGACACAGGAAGAACAAATCTTTTCAAACAAGCACCTACGTAAACTACGAAGTGCCTCCTTGGAGTTCTTCCGCTCATGCCTCCTTCTTGGTACGCTGCAACCTTGGACGACATTGATTCGTTACTAGCCAAGTTGAGGGCTTCCAAATACTGCTTATTTATACGGGATGGAACCCTATAGTTGAATTGTCGCCGACGTGAAGGACTTGATTAATATACAGCTGTTGTAGGGCTTGCCAAGAAGCCATGAAGGGTGGGGGAAATTTGACTCCAGCTGATCGAGCATGTGTAGCCGTTCTTTTGCTCGGGGAACATGTTGTATTGTCGTGCAAATTTGATCTTTTCTTGGTTGCACATGGCGTCGATATCTGCCTATATTTCAGCTTACAGTTTTCTGATAGGAAACTAGGATGCAGGTAACATGAAAAAAAAAAAAAATTATGAACGTAAGAATAATGTGAAGCACATGTCAAAAACTTGAGATGATGAGTGCATTTGCGTGTCTATATCTAAAAGTAAATCGTGAATGTGGTTCTTTTAATTTGAGTTTTGGACTGAGTTTAAGGAGTGGTTTCTTGGCTGCCGACTGCCAACCTTGGAAGGATATTTAGGCCTGAAAGTAGCAGCACAACCATACGTACGTGGTTAGTGTATCTTACACAAACCCCTCTTCTGGCTCTGGTTGTTTTCTCTCTCTGGCCCTGCTATGACATATGGTTGTTATGGCCTCGTTTGAACCTTGACCTCCTAGACTTTACCCATACGTTGTACTTTCATTTGTTAATCAGAGAGTAACATGCAGTATTCGTGAAGGTGAAGGAGCATATATGTTAACGAGGGAAATGAGATTGAGACTATTGCGAGCTAATGCTCTAAGACTCCAGATCCTTTGTATTAGCTTGATACGTTGGATTTGCAACTTAAAATTGCAAAGGTTGGACTGGGTCTCCCTGGTTGGAGGTTGGAGTAAGAAATGCATGTCTTGTAGGATGGGAGGTCAAGAGTTCAAACCTTATCTCCCATCAAAATTATCATTTGATGTGACTTCTTTTAAATCCATATGAGTCCATCAAAATTATTATTTGATGTGACTTCTCTTAAATCCATATGAGTATATAATGCACTCGTATAGTCCGATAGTGGTTCAGTCCCCGTGACCCTGTTGGGTCACCCCCTTAGAATGGATTAGAATAAGAATAGGAGTAGGTTTAGATGATGACAATCGATCTCAAAAAAAAAAAGAAAAAAAAGACTGATCGGCCAGACAAGACGTAACAGATCCTTACCCAAGCAAAACTGTCTCAGAAATGATGATAGAGGCAAGTACAAGATGTTCAATTTCGAAGTTAGGTCTAGTCAACTCAGTAGAATTAACTAGTTATCAAAGTTCATTCATTGAGCACTTCAACCAAAGATTAAAGTCTCAGATCTGGCAAAGCACTCGCACTTGAGAAGCATTCAAAGTACTGTACTTCTAACGATGAAAGCCTACATATATGCCTTGAAACAAAACAAAAAAGAGCCCTACATCTGTTTAAACTCATACAATGTGAGGTTTAGGGATTAAAACTATTGGAAAGTACATTAACAACAAAATAGTACATTACAGCTCCATTTTCAAGTAACTGAAAGCATAGTTGCCTCTTCTTTACACTCTGCAGATCCCAGTTAAGGACCAAGTGAACAAACTTTGAAGAGCAAAATTGAAGAAATGGATTCTGTCTTAGGATATTCGTACAGATAAATACCCATTCCTCATGGATACTATTCAGTGGGGAGTGCAAAATGTAATAACCCCTGAAGGGAGAACAACAACATGAGCCTTACCAAAGAGGGATGATTTGTATCACTTCTTCAAAAGCTTGTGGGAAAAAATTCTCTTAGAATACGGACTGTTACGTGAGATTGCCTTGTGGGACTCAATTGCCTCAACCAACGAATTGTGAAGAGGACCCTGATTTCATATCGAAGGTTAAATTATTAGGATACACATGCTTATCAGCATTCATTGGCCTCCAAATCTCTTAAATAGATTGCAAGCAAAATAAGCAGCCAACTGGTAACTTAAATGTCCGGAAAATCTAGAGTGCATTCAACAAACTTAACAGATCAAATCCCAGGAAAAAACTTGTTCAACTAATTCATTCCAACAAGGCCACTTCTATTCCATGTATTATATACAAATGTTAGACTCTGAGAACTGAAGAAAGAAAATTTTCTTGGTTCAAGTTAATGCGCAAAATGAAACCCATATTACATGAATCAAAATAAAGAACAAAGCTTTTCATCAAAAGAATTTCACAACATGGTAGATAATTGCTTAAGAAGTATCTTAAATGAGTAAATATCTGTACAATGTGGGAACTCATACCTCAGAAACTTTGAGAGCTGTTTGGACAACATAATTGGCATGTGGATCTTGAAGCAACTGCTCAAAATGAGTTGCAGACAGTAATTCATGAATTATCGTTGACCGCACTTCATTACTACATACTGCTAGGCATTTTTCAACCACATGGCTGCTGAACTTTTGTGTCGAGAGATGGACATAGTTTCCCTCAAACTGGCAAACCAACTTGGTTGTGGCAGATGGGATCTTAAGCTCCAAGATGAACTGAACAACATAATTCCTGTAATAAAAACACATCTTGAAATAAGAAATAACTGGAAGAACTGAGGAAGATAATATGTATCTACCTAAGCTGGAAGAATTAGAGCTTCAAATTTTGTTTAAAGTATTATGGTTTTAGTAGAATTTTTCAAAGCACAAGCAAACTGAAAACAACTGCAAAACCAGATAGTTAACAATACAAGTAAACAACCAACACACTAATGGACTAACAACATTAAGAGTTGCCACCTGCAGAATGGGGGAGAGATGATGCGATATGGACATATCAAGACCCAACAAACAGAAGAAAGACTTAACTTATCTTGATTTTCAGTCAAATGAGCCAATAAATATGACGATTAGCTGATTAAAATTATAAAGAAAAACAAGGCAAGGGTTAAATTTTGTAGCTCTAGAACTTGAAACTTAAGCTGTCAAACTCCACTCTCCAGTAGGATTCTAATACTTGTGATTATAGTTAGGCACAGAACATCTAGCTTTTCTATGTAGTATATGATACAACGTTCCACAAAAATGCTCAAACAAGAAGTTGTTACAAAAATAATAATTGATATTCTTCTTGCACTTAATTACCCAAATGCATCTTGCGCAAGCAGAAGGCCATTTGCAGAAATTTCTGCAATCAAGTTTTCCCGATGTTCTCCACTTGCATGGCTAATACATCTTTGTAGAACACAGCAGCCATGCTGATGAGTTGCAATGTCAACACAATACTTTGCAGCAGCAACGAAAATGAACTGCCAAAATGTCATAAAGAATCCATATAAGATAGGTGATAAGGTAAAGAATCAACCAACTTGAATCAAATGGTATCACAACTCTGATAACGCTTTAACAAGTGATTGGTCTCCATGAAAATCCTAATCCTGAGATCATAACAAACTTCATGTTGCATCAGAAAAGTGATGCTAGCTTTGATAAAGTTAATTGAAGTTCTTGTTTGTTGGCAAAGTAAGATTCAGCCGGCCTATGCACTCATTAAGCCATGTCGAAATGTGAATTCTTTCAGCATGATTTCTTTTGCAACCCACAAGTTTATGAACAAACTCTTATGATACTCAAGGCCCTGACTTTTTCATGTTTCTACTCTTTTGATAGTTAAGGATCAAATTCACTTTATGAATTCAAGATACAGCAATAATTCCTTTCTGAAAGCCCACAAATCTGGGAGCTTTACTTGGCTGACTATAACTTAATGCTGCAACCCCATCTTCTAGCATTAATTGGAACTCTAAATTTTTTGTATTATACAGAAACACTATCCAATGCGCACGATTTATACTCCTTGAAAAGCCAACTTTCTGTTACGTGGAATCCCCATTCCATAATATAGTAAGCTTTAGTTAATTGTGAATTAACTTTCATTTCCCTGTAGCCAATTTTCCTCAGTGCTAGCAATTTTTTATCTATGCTCTCACATGTCCGTGTCAAAACCACATGTATGACACATTCGATGCATAAGAGCAAAGGTAAGGCATATGGGTATTGTCTTAGTGAACTCAAGTAAGAATTAGTAACGAGATTTTGGTAGAGGATAAGAGTAAGCCCTCTGTCACACGCCTTCTTACTATCCAATCCACTTCAATTTCTACATCCTCTCAACTTTTCCAAACAAGGCACTACCACTCCCTTTTATTTGTCATAGGCCACTCCATCCTCCTTTCTCAAGGTAAGAAACAAGACACATCAGTATGTATTACACCAAAACAGAACAACATTTAACTAAGTTTTTCATGCTCAAGTAAAGACGCATGATTCATCTTATAGCAGCCTGAACACTAGCCAAAGTCGAAAACAGACAATTCAGCAATCAGTAATGCTTGTGCAATGCCCAAAAAAGAAAAAAAATCATCCATAAATGATAACAGCATTCAAAGCAGAAAACCCATATCTTTGCCTTATTATTGAGGGCTTATTGGCTTGCTAAGCTAAAAAAATTGTCCCATAAAAACCAAATGAGAATATGACGACTTTGGCCGACATTTAGACCATCGGAACTGAACCTCTATAACATTTAGATGTCTGACTAACGTGTCAATGTCGTGAAAGGATATCACCGCAGGAAACTTTGATTATGTAATAGTGAGAAGAGATCCACAGTCTCTCCTTTCAATCATGAGAATCACAGAAAGAAATAAGAGAAACATTGGGTACATGTCTTCTCATCTTTCAGAGACACAACAAAGCAATAGAAAGCTCTTATACAAAACTGTTTCCCAATTCTTGCATTTGGTATACTTACCAAGATAAGGAGCATACATACTTCTTCTGATAAGTGAAGCAGCAAAAGAATAGTGTTGAATGCATTTTGAAATTCACGAGAAGGCCTTTGAAATTCATCAAAAATAAACCACAGCAAAGCATAAGATTCATTTGCTATGAACTTTAGCCCATTGTCAGATATAATCTATGTTAACTCATGATGCAACAAGGTTATCCCTACATACGAAGCCAATCTTCTCAACCAATTTCCTACAGACATCTATACTGTAATCAGACAATCAGGAAATCCAAAACATAAACTTTTATACTATAACTCAAATCGATGACAGAAATTGCATAAAAAAGAGGAAGATCACTTAAGAATGTCCAAGAAGCTTCAGTGAAATAGAGGAGTACCTTGCTGTCTTCATAGCTAAGGCATTGCAGGCATCTTTGGACGACATGATTACCATTTAGGTCCTTGATAAGAGCAAGAAATCCAGGTTCAAGAGCTGAAATAACTAGTGACGTCTGCTGCCTAGATTTAAGCGTCTCAATCAATTTTTGAACCACTCGTGTGCTGATACAGTAATAGCTTTGTTAGATCAGTATTGTGCTGAATAATACTCCAAGCGAAAGATGCAAATCTTACCCATGGGTGTTTAATGAGATTCTGATGAGCTCTCCAGGTTTTGCTGTTACCCTGAGCAGAATCTGCATTCTCTGCTCTTCATTGCACGCTTCCAATAGCTTTTGCATAAGGTAATTCCCGAAAGGGTTCATCATAAGTTCAACTACGTGGTCAATTATCTCAGTGAATATGACTTGAACATCTTGAGGAGTTCCCTCATCAAACATCCTTTGCAAGAATCGACAACCATGTTGATCCTTTGCTATGTAGTAAATGTAACCTTGAGCTTCTCCCAAGGAGTTACACTTTGATGGCAGAGAAAATGGGCAACACAGTCTGAGACTTTGAGCACGTACTTGATTTCCTGCAATCTGGGGGCAACCATCTATAAGTGACTGCTTTTCTTGATGTGCATTTACATCAGCCTCATATGGGGAACCCTTGTTGTGCCTTGATCGTTCCTGTACTCGATTTAACGCATAATTCAAACTTTCACCTTGAATAATCAAGCTTTGTTCACCAGAAAGAGCCTCAAGACTTCCATGAGGTACTCTAACGTGTGGAGGTACTATTTTACATGCATTTGTTCGCTGTTGGCGATAATAATTTACATTTTCCACATTGGCTTGAGTCTTCATTGGAGCCAACTGAGGCACATCCAGAGAGTGAAATACATCATTTTTGGATAGGATACCCATCCCATTTCGCTGAGCATAATATTGAGCCTCAGTAATAGAAGGGCGAGTCACAGTACCTGACAAGTTGTTAACTGGAAATCCCACATAATGATGAGCATCCAGTCCCTTCGTAAGACAAAATTGGGCACTCACAGAACCATTTCTACCATATAAATGAGAATATGGTTCACCTGATTGACTCAGGGAATACCGGGATCCTAATAGATTAGCGTCTAAACTCAAGGGACTTCCTGGAACAGGGCACTGAATTCTCCCATAATCAGAAATGCCTCTGCCATAATATTGTGAAAACAAGCCATGTTGATCCAAATCCATCCCGATATTCCCACCACTAACACGATCAAAAATCTGACGACCACTTAAATTTAGCAATTTGACATCCTCTGGCTCCTTACTAACATACATTCGACTCAAATTTCTTAACAACCTCAGCTCATCAAACACGTTATCATCAGCCTTCCGCCCAAAATACGAATCGGGAGATTTGTTCTCCATCCACAACCGGTCAGAGTAATGTGATTGTGTACTAGTACCACCATTTGAGTGAGTTTGAAGCTCTTCCACTGGAGGTGTGGTAGGGGATCCATTGTCTGAAAATGAATGCCCACCAGAGAACAAACTTGAAGAAGAGCTATCTGAATGCAGAGAAAACCCACTCACAGGGGAAGCACACGTATGTTTATTATTATGATCCAATGTCACATCATCATACATACCCATACGGTACATCATACCAGTCATTTTTTGTGCCAACAAAGACTCGTCAAGATTATGATGATGGTGATCACTACCATGACCATGTCTAAGATGATGATGATGATTGAAGGATATTGCATGAGGGATCTCACCCAATAGCAATTCAAGCTCCTCATCATCTTTCATTTTCCTCCTCCTTTTTCCCCTTCTTCAACAATAACTAAGATTCACAACAAGAAGGTAGTAATAACCAAAGATTTACAGCAAAAGCAGGCAAGGCAAGAATCAAGAAGCCCACATTGGAAACTGACCTAAGAAAGACTAAGAAAAAAAAGTGTAACAGAAACCCAGAAAAGATTACCGCTTTTGATCATCTGGGATGGAGTGAAAGACCAAAAAAAGAGTCTTGATTGAAGAAAATGGAAAGAGTGAGGTGGGGTGGGGAATTGGTGATTGTAAAATTTTATTCAAAATCCATTTTTTCTCGTTGGATTATAAGTTTAATAATCGGCTCATTTGGGTTTTGGGTTTTCTATTGGGATGAGTTGGTGAAGCATGCAAAGATGAATGGACTGGATACGGTTACATACATGTACTGTAGAGAATACATACACACGCACTCTTCTGGTACGGTCTCACGCCATTAAAGCTGGGGAAAAGCAACAGACTCTCTCTCCCCCTCTCTCACTCACAGTCTCACACACCCGAGAACATATATAGCAATTGAGTGAGCGAAAATAAATATTATTGAACAAATCAAAGAGTCAAGGAGTGCTGGTTGCTCTCAACGTCCACGTACGTTTCGGACGTTTGGATATGCGATTATTTAAAATACTATTTAAAATAATTTTTTGGGATATAATATATAAGATAAAAAATAATTAAATATAAAAAATTTATTAAAAAATATAAGGCCTGTTTGGAAGGTGAGTTTTTTGGGTGTTTGTATAAAATTTTACTGTAAATCACTGTAGAAGTTGTAGAAAAACTTTTTTTTGGGTGTTTGTAAGATAATTTTTTTTTTCTTTTTCTTTTTCTTTTTTCTTTTTTTTTCTTTCTTTCTTTTTTCTTTTCCTTCCTCCCTTTCTTCCTCTTCTCCTACCCCCTTCCCTCCCCTATTCCCTCTGCCGAGACTTCCAGGTGATTCCTTTTTTTTTTTTTTTTTGCTCTTTTCCTGTTCCCTTCTCTCTCCCCTGCCACCCCTCCCTCTCCCCCTCTCCCTCGACGCAATTCGGACCCTCCCCTTCCCCTTCCTTCCCCTGCCGCCCCTCCCCTCCCTTTTCCTCCCCTCCCCAGCCAGCCTCCCTCTTCCCCGACGCGATCTGGTCGGGACCTTTCCCTTTCACGTTCCCCTTCCCCCGCCGCCCCTCCCCTTCCGCTTCCCTCTCATGCGATTTGGCCAACAGCTGTGCATTTTTTTTTTAGCTTTTTCTCTCCCCTCCCCCTCTCTGCTCTGCGATCTGGTCGGCGACCAAATCGCACCTAGCAGGAGGGGGAAGGACAGGGGAAGAGGGGAGGGGAGGAGAGGAAGCGAGGGTGATGGACAGAAAAATTTTTTTTGAGGTTACCGGCGCCGAAATAGGTGACCGGCGTCGGGAGAGGTGGTGGGGGTGATGGTTGGGTGAGGGAGAAAGAAAAGTTTTTGGGAAATTTTTTGTGTATTTTTGAAGTGTGTAAATAAAAAACTTTAAAAAATTTTTTGGGGTTCCTGTAGTAAAAGTTGTTAAAAAATTAGTAGCTAAAAAACTAAGGTGCCAAACAGGCTCATATTTGTAATACAAACAAATAATTTTTAGCAAATAATTCTTATCCAAATACATTTTCTTGTTTAGCTTTGTCAATTTATGAGTATTGTGAAGGTTACACTGGCATTTTGTATACTCTCGAGTATAGATATATCTCACACTAAAAATATACAGTTTAAATTCAATTTAAAAGATAAGGTGGTATTAGAACTATAAATGAGACCAATCCACGCGACGAAACATAGGCTTTATGTATTCAAACTCAAGCTGAGACTCAATGACACCACAAATTAGAACTCAATTAACTTTCATATGAAAACTTGAGTTCAAGTTCAAACAGTAGTTTGAACCTAGTCAAACTGGACTCAAGCTCAAATAAAAATAATATATATCTAATTTAAAAAAAATGAATAGATTGGACATTTCATCTTAATAAATAATAAAAATATAGGAACGACATATGTAATTTCACTACTAAAATATAAAGTATTACAAATATATGAATTCAATGTAGCTTGACAAGTTGAATACTTGATTGGCTCACCAAGTGAGGTCAAACTCGACTCAATACTAAGATTGAATCGAGTTTTGATTGAGCCAATTAGCTAGCTTTGAAATCGATTTAAGTCATTTGCAACCCTAGGTAACATGCATCCAATTCCAATTCCAAAATTTATCATGATGCATATTTTGCTTTCTTCAGAACATTATATCTCAATAGGTTTTTTTTTTTTTTTGGTGTCCCTAATGAAGTTGTGATGTTAAAATAAGTTGGTGACAAGAATATAGATATCTGACCATGTTAAGTAGGAAAAGTATCTAGTGTTTTCTTTTTTTGGAAAAGTATGTATTGTATGTATACATGAACCAGTAAGGATTACGAGTTCCAAATTTATATTTGTTAAAGGCATTTTTATTGTTTAATTTTTTTGAAGTATTGATATTTTTTAAACATATTTTTACTATTCAGTTTTTCAATAAGTGTATTAGGTTTTTTAATCAACCACATGTTTTAAATTTTGTATACAAAGTATAGTGTAGCATGTGATTCTTTTTTTTCTTATGTATTGAATTTTATAAAATTAAACCACATTTTTTTTATTACTTGTTTACATAAATGATACAACTTCTCGGTCATTAAGGTTGGTCCAGTGACTATGGGAGGACTTTTAGAGTTCTTTTGAATCGTCGATCTAATAGTTGGGAGTTGAAAGGTTTATTGAGAGAGAGAGAGAGAGAGAGTTTATCAATTTAATTCTTACACGTACATTCTTCATCCCTTCGTCACTAGTTTCAAATGTATATACTGATTGATTTGATATACATAAACTTTAAACCCGGTTGAACGGGGAATCAACCAGGCATCTGGTCCGAGCCTCTCCAAAACCTGCCTAACAAAAACTCGGTCAAACCTAGGTTTAAGTTGAAAACCATTAAACCAGTCGGAACTGGGTTTCCCTTTTTCTTTTTTTGAGGTAAACTTTTTTTTTTTTTGGCTGGCTTTCTATTTTTTACTTTTTTATTTTGCTAAATTACATTGAAGAAAAAAAATATAAATCAAGCTTAATTGAATATCAAGCAAGATCTACTACAGATCTAACATTAAAATTCGAAAATCAAAAGAAAAAGTAAGAAAGAGAGAGGGAGAATAAAAAGGAAAAAAAATGTTGATTTAAGTTTTGAATCAAGAACTTGAAAAACATGAGAGGAAAGAATGTAAATAATAAGATGATATGATATTTTCTTCTGGTAATGGAAGAAAAAAAGAAAAAGATTAAAAGCAAAAAAAGAGATTGATAAAAAAAGAGACCCAGAACAAGAATGAAAAAACGGAAAAAGATGGAATTCATCGGAAAAACAGTAACTCTTTAATGTTTTTAGAACAAAGTGTGGTCCTAATCATATGAACCCACCCCTAAGGCTCATCCAAGCCAACCTTTGCCGGCTTCACTATTTGGCATGCCATTTCCTCAATAATGCATTTGTTGCTCCTCATCGGAGGACGAAGAGGCCGAGAGACGGTATTGCTAGGTTAATGAAGTGAATGTTTAATAAAATTTTCTATTATTCTGTTTTGACCCCCAAATATTTTAAACAATTGCTCCTATAAGTTTTTCTAGAGTTTCAACTGTAGCTTTAATTTCTTTACTTCTTCAAATAGGTCTTACAAATTTAGTTCTAAGCTTATCAATTATTTGCAGCTTCTAAACATTAAATTTGAGTTAGGTTCAAATGGTATTGAATTATAGGATGTTTGGAAATAAAGTTTAATATATGTTATATAAAATTATTATATATTTATAGCATCATGATGACATCACCTGGTTCTTAGATGGGTTCGACCCGAATTGAATCCATTGACCCCTGACCCTTGGGTTCGACCGAGTCACTGTCCGATCCAAGTTTTAAAACATTGCTTTAAACCATTTTGTCTAAGCTTAGATATATTAAGCCCTTTAGTGTTTGGTTTGATTTGTAGTTTTTTCTAATATTATGTTTTCTAATAGTAGGGGAGAGAGGGAAGGTAAAAAAAAAAACTTTCACTATTGAAAAATATTAAAAGTTCTAATTTTACCCTTATTTGCATTATTCTACTTGTTTTTTTTTTGTCAAATGGTTGAATCCTATTTTTAAATGCATTTTTAGAAAACAAAAAATAAGATTTCTTTTCGGCGTTGTTTCTAATAATTGCTAATTTAACGGTATAAATGTCTTTTTACTTAATTATTAATGCATTTAACCATTTTGTGTTAAATTTTTTCTTGTTTTATTTACTGAAGTTAACTAAATTAAGCCAAAATTTTATTATTTTACTTATTTAACCTTACGACTTTTTCAATCTTCAAGAATTCTTGAACATTTTTCACTCTACATGTATTTTCATTTTATCTATTAAGTTCAAGCATTTAATTTAATTGCAAAATAAATAATCTCAAATGTATTATTGATTTAGTCAATATATGGGTTAAGTTGACAATGAGGATATATCCGCTGATCCTTGCAACAACTTTGCACATTTCTCTCCATTTTAGTCGTTTGTAAATCCGCCCTAGTGCAATTGGAGATGTTTTATATGAGATTTGTTTTAGTCTCCATGTTGACTATATATAATTAGCTAACAAGAAATAAGCATAATATTTGTTTCTTTTTTGTTATCATGCAATATGACTATCCAATAGCATACCATCAACAGCTTCATAAACAAAAGGGAAAATGCTTATTATCCAATAAGCATAATAAGAATTCCCCATAAGAAGAGGGAACATGTGTAAGTCGAACTTTCTTTTATTTTTATTTTTTTGGGTGCAAGTAAATGTGACTTTCATAATAACTTTTAAAATGTTTAAAAGCAGTCACCAGAACTTTCTTCTTTTAGGGGGTCAATTTACTTTAAGGTTAGAACCATAGTTATTAAATCCGGCCCCGTCCGGCGGTTCGACCGGTCAACCTGGTGAACCGGCCATTGAGCCGGACCGGTTCGCTAATTAGATCGTTTTGACAATTGACCCGTTGACTTTTCAACGGATCGACGGTTCAACCGATCAAACCCGGAGAACCGTCCGGTTTTGTAGGAATCCGCCGGGTTTGCATGTTAAAAATATTTGGAAGATGCTGTAGTGACGCTTCGAAACCAACGACCTTCTGTATTTAAAGAAATGCAACAACCGCTACACCAACAGCTCACTAGTTTAACATTTAGTCTTTTTTTATTATATATTAGACTTATTCTTATTTTAATTTTCCAAAACCTAATTTATTTGGAATCTTTTAATAAATTTTATTACTCTCCTGGCTCTATAAATTATGAAATGAATTTAAAAAATAACATATCACATAATTCATTCTAAAGGCAAATATCGTTCCTAATAATTTTTTGCATTTAAAATTCATAAATAAACTAGATAATTATACTTAGATAAAATTTTATTCTTGAAATTTGATG